TCCCATAAAATGTTCCCTGAACCAAGACTAAATTGCTCTCCGTATTGAGTCCGCCCTCACAGTCGAGTGTGTGACAGTCGAGTACCTAGCGTCTAGAGCGGCAAGTGCCAGTTCAAAGCAATTGTCTTACATTTTATTAGCGTGGATAGAACTGGACACCGGATTTTGGCGTTTTGTACCTTTATTTTACTTACATTATAACACTAGGTATTTCATCAATTGCGTAATCGTTTTTTGGTTGAACACGAAAAACTACAAAAAAACGCGCACTTGTACGATTTCACAAAAAACAAGCGTGCTCACGTCTGTTGACTCTATCTTCAAACAAAAAACGATTATGCAATTGATGAAATACCTAGTGTTATAATGTAAGTAAAATAAAGGTACAAAACGCCAAAATCCGGTGTCCAGTTCTATCCACGCTAATAAAATGTAAGACAATTGCTTTGAACTGGCACTTGCCGCTCTAGACGCTAGGTACTCGACTGTCACACACTCGACTGTGAGGGCGGACTCAATACGGAGAGCAATTTAGTCTTGGTTCAGGGAACATTTTATGGGAACTCTGGAAAATAAAAGCTTCTACACGAGATGGCCGTCTTGAGGAATATCAATCACCACCAACTTGGTTTTTCACGCCCAAAATTCTGAACGTATTTTTCGCATGCAATTGAATGCGAAAAATACTGAAAGCGGGCATGATAGTGTAAATTAATTTACACTGTCATGCCCGCTTTCAGTAGTGAACTTTCACCTCATATAAGGATTGATTCCCCATTTCAGTTGGCTGACCTTACCTACATAAACTTCCGCATACCACGTGGGACACTCATCTGGGCTCCTTCAGCTACGCAAAATGATAGCTGTTTCTGCTGAAGTGAAAGTTGACACGCTGTTTGGGAGGAGAACCTGACCACGGATTGACGAAATTCAATGATGTTATTATACTATTATTAATACATTTAGAAAATCACTATTACCACAACGTTTTTGTTTCCCATTTTTGTCCGGAAACCAAATGTGTTTATTTCTCGTTTAATTTACACTACTACACACGCTTCCAGTAGTGATTTTTCATCGAAGATATTGGCCGATTGCCCATTTCCATTGATGGACATGACCTATGTAAACGTCCGCGCACGCCTGAGGCTTTGCCAACCACACAGCCGGTCGTTGTAATTGCCCCTGCCCCTGCCCCTGCTGAAGGGTACGCGGTGAACGTTGCCACCCTATTCGGGGAACACCTCAGCAGCCGCGTATTCGGCAACGTTCACGAACGCGTGCACTACATCAAGCAGTTCGAGCGGATTTCAGGATAACACTACACCATGCGGAACTCGAAGGCAACTTCCTCCGGTGACAAAAGGTTCGTAAAGCACCAATGCCACCGGAAAGGATTTGAACGTCGCACTAACGATGGAAGCCGACGGCTGCTTGATCACACGTAGTGTGAGACATATTTCAACGTCGGCAGACTGGGCAACCCTTCAAGGATTACCCGATTCAATATGATCCACAACCACGAACTTTTAATTGCCGAAGTATCCAGGTGGTTTAATCGGAACCGTCGACTGAATACAAAAGAATTTGAGATCATTCGATCAATGCTGGAATGCCGGGACCGCTGTTTCAACATCCACCTCTACGTGAGATCCAAGTTCGGCAAGTATCTCACCAAGAGCGACGTTGGGAACATTCGGTCGCAGCATACGTTTGGACGGAACAATCCAAGCAAGTCCTATTTATGTAACTAAATATGTACTCCCTATAGATTACATTCTCGATTTGGAAACGCAACACAACGAATAAGGATGAGCCCGCTGTTTGCGAGACGACAACAACCGGATTTCTCTGTTTGTATATTCCACCTCGGAAGTGTTTGAACTTTTCCGAAGGTTCTCCGATTTCTTATTAATAGATAGCACTTTTTCTACGAACCAGCAAAAATATTTTCGTACCAGCTACTCATTGTTGATGGCTGTCGTAATATTCTCTCTGTAGCCATTGGTTTTCTTTGGCGGGAGACTGAGAATGACGTGAGAACCTTCCTGCTGGCTTTTCTTGAATTTGTTGGTGATGGTTCTCACGTCAAGTGCATCATGTCAGAGGATGCACTGGCCGTTTCTAACGCAATAAGTAGCGTTTTCCCCCTTGCTCATCATTTATTACGTAGGGTCCATATCATACGTGATACTGTTAAGCGTGTCCCCCTTTCCAGTTCCTTCAGACGTTTTTTTTACTGCTATACATCTTTTGGAGGTATTTAGCCCCCCTAGAACTGATCAGTGTACATGGCCCTTCTTTTTTCACTTACTTAAATCCTTTCATTTTACCCAATGCTTCGAAAAGGGCCAACTGCAGAATGCCGTGCGCCGCAACCCATGCCATCCCCGACATCAGCTTGTGCTCAACCCATCCGCTTACGGTTGTGAGCAGTGACGTGGACACAACGATAGTGAGGGATAGTCGACAAGAGACAGTCCACCACGCAACCCGAACATGCACATGCAAGAAATTTGTTGCGTTCGGAATCCCTTGTCGACATGTGCTACATTTTGCAATGGAACACAACGTGGAAGCAACCGAACTGCCAGTCTGTTCCCATTGGACTCGGCAAAACAACGGCGTGTTCGCCATGTTGGTGTCGGAGATGCCATGCAGAATAGGCGATTGCCCAGGTGTTCCCCGAATAGGGTGGCAACGTTCACCGCGTACCTTTCGGCAGGAGCAATTGCAACGACCGATTGTGTAGTTGAGGAAGCCATAACGAGTGTGCCTCACAGGCATGCGCAAACATTTACATGGGTCACGTCTACCAACGAAAACGGGCAATCAGC